TTTTTAATTAACCAAAGGATTACCCGTTTACTCGACAAGGCAAATGGACAAAGTCTGAGCAACTAGGCCAAATCCAAATGGACTTTGAAAAGTTTACAAATACTAGGCTAGAACAAGTGGTAGGTCCAGTCCAACCTGGGCCAGCCCTAACCAATCCCAACCTAATCATCCGTTGCGTTTGTGTATCACCAAATGGAGAGGGGCTAGGGTTGTATTAGTTGTTTCCCTTATGAGCGTCAACTTTAAACCATGGTGAATAGATTCTTATGTAATTAACTAATAGGAAATTTATCAAAGTAAGCATAAGAGATGAACTATTTAACATTGTAGTCATATTTTTTAGTTTAATTTCAAAATACCATAAAAAACACATGATCATGAGTTGGAATAGCTTCAAATGGCTAAATTTTAAATAGCTAATCCCCTATGAACATTTTGATAAAATTTCATTTCATTTATTTTTGATGGTTTCTCTACAACTAAGGGATCTACCTTAATAATAGCACATTTGCAATGTCAAGTATTTATTTTTTAAAAAAGAAAAGAAGATAGCAAATTTGGGTTTCAAGGTGAGATGTATGAATGGGGTGCATGAAAAGAGAGGTAGTTATAGAGAATTGCAACATCTCTTTGTGAAGGGAAAATATATCATGATATATGTAGCTTACCATTTGTATTTTTTTTTTCTATTTTATGCTTATCAAGCTTACCATTCCCTTTTTTAAAAGCATGTCGCGGTTTAGGCAATATGAATGGAATTGTCTACAAAGCGATCTTCTATTTTTTGTACATGGAGGTCACAAACATTCCTAATCAATAGATGTCAAATTGGATGGCTTGGAGAGTCACAAAGTCCGAGAATTTTTTCTTGTAACTTTATGTCTATTCAATGACACTCTTACAACTACCCATTTTGAAATTTAAGAGATAAGAATGATTGTGACCGCCATATACAAAAGATAAATGGTCTTTTTGTAGACAATCCCATATGAAATTCAGCTTCATCAAGAGTTCTTTTATTTAGATGACAAATATAATAACTAGGATCTTGGCTCCTACTTTTAATGAAAGTAATAGTTAACATTCCAAAAACAAAAATAGAATAACTAGATGATAGAATAACCAAATGAGAATAAAAGGTTCAAGTCATCACTAACCTTAGATTCGTATGCAAAAGGCTCCCTATGTCAAGACGCAGGTAAGTCTTCAAAGACCACGAACCATTGACGACAGTATACATGCTGTTGGGCAACAGTCGAAGCTCTAAGGTAGATATGAAAGGTGTCCCAAGGCCTGTGTTCACTAGACATATAGCCACAGACTTCACCTTATTTAAACTGATAATCTCAGCCCATACAAGATCATTAAAACTGTTAAAGCTCACAGTGTACCAGAAGTCGACCCCCAAGTACAACTCGAACTTTGGCAACCTGAAGCTGGAATCATAGTTTGCATGCAAGAACGAAGCCCTGATCAGGTATCTCCAGTTATTGATTAAGCCTGTCACATTGTAACAATTCCTCTTTCCATGTGTAAACCTTCGGAGGAATCGGTATTGCATCGGTTGGGAATTGTCATTTATAGACAGAGCTTCTCCATTCTCTATGTAGTTCGCATCAGATGTGTAAGTGATGGTGGTGTCTGGATCCTGGTAGTCCTTTCCACGATATCCACAATCTATGCTTATGAACCCTGAACCAAGTGAAACCCATGATTCTAATGTGCTGTATGCCTTATAAAAGTGCTCAATGCTTTGGCCAAGTTTTTTGTATTTCTTTCAAGTTTGGGAAGGGGGGCTTTCTATTTTTATCTCTACACGCATACGCACACGCACACGCACATATGAATGCGGCCAAGAGCAGAAACACACATTACTCACCTTCTTCCTAGTAAATTTTGAGTCTGATAATGTCCCTGGTTATTGAATGGCATAGTACACAAGACCAAGTACTAAACTTATGTAGTACTTCGTACGCGTGTATCTGAGGGAACATAGAGCGTATTTGTAGGTGCATAAGTGCACAACGGTCATCAGAAAGATACGCATATAATGTATCATACAAGAAAATCTCATCATATCACAACTAGTGTAGACTTGACCGAGTAACTAGGCCTCGCCCTATTGGTGAGGCAAGTTGGGGCCAGTTGGGTATCCACAACCACCAAAAATTTATTAAAAAATAAAAAAATAAAACAAGAAAAAAATAGAAAATACCAAGATATCAAGATGATATTGATAGTTTTTAAGATGATTTGCGAACTTTCATATATTTTTCCCTTTTTCCAATTTTTTGAAATATTCATTGTATAAATCAAAATTTTTAATAATCCATCTTTTATAAATTTTTCCCATCTTCTTCAGTCATGATATCTATTACCTCTTTTAATTTTTTTCTGATTTTTAACTTCTTTCTCAAACTTTTAACCTTTTTTTTCACTTTTTATATTTCTTTTGAGTTGTAAATAACTCGGCCGAGTCCTTTCGCACTGGACGAGTTATGGCCTAGGGGATCTTTAAAACTTTTAACGCAACTTGTATCAAACATGTTAACCTAGGATCTCCATTGTCTACATCAAATGTAATTCCATTTTCAATGTGCTCATGGATCCCCACGATCTTGCTTTCTAACCATGTGATGCGTTGCCATGTGGAATGAACAAGTGAAAAATGTGCCAAATATATATTAACTACATGTTACCATGAATCATGGTCTACAATATATTTTCTAAATTTCTCCTATTAAATAAAATTACATTCAATAGAAATGGATCAATTGCACTTATGCCTATGCCATACGGTTGTTGAAAAGATTAACCTTCATTTCTATATGGCTACAAAAAAATTTTATCAGGAATGGTAGGCTAGGGTACAACATATGATGGATGAGTAGTATTGTTCCAACCAGTATAACCAAAATTGCCTTTTGGTCCCAATGACAAAAGGAATTTTCTACGTAGTTTTACGCTGATGTCTCTCTAAATATATGTAATTGTAAAATTTAAATTTTTGTATATTATACTAAGATCTTTTTTCTTTGCTTCTTTTTTTATTTTTTATTTTTATTTTTATTTCTTTATTTATTTTTATAACATTCCCCCCAATGGGCCAACTTCAAACCTTCGTAGGGTCAGTTTTTTATTTAGGACCTTGATATAAAACAATAATATTGTACTTGTTTCAACCATCTTTGTTTCAATCATTAGTTACTCTCACTCAGTAGTGCACTTCAGAACTTGAAGGTCTTTCATTTTTAGTTTTTTTTTATACAAATAGTATGAATATAAAATTTGATACGTGTCATCTTCTCATTGGGACGCACCAATAAAAAAATATTTAAACTAATTTTTTGATAAAATATAATGGCCAAAATACCCTTTGAAATTTTTCAGGGGTATTTTGGTCATTTTATTTTATTGAAAATATTTTTTTTTATATTTTTTGCTAGTGCAAGTTTAATAGAGGATTGGACATCCAAAATTTGGTAACAAAATAGTTTATAAAAAAATTTAAAAATATAATAGTGTAAAGATACATAGTGATTGGGACAATCTTAACCATCCATTCAAAATGGAGGGTTGGATAAGAGGAAGTATATAAGTTTTATGCTGTAGAGGAAGCATAAAAAGCTTATCCAAATAATAATTAAGAGTCTTGTAATAACTGATATTTAGAGAGAGATGAGGGCAAATATCTCTTTGAAGCAATGACCCCTGGATATCATCATGCAGTAATACTATGATGATTCACCCTAACCAGTGAGCCAAAAGGCATTCTAAATTGTCCCCCCATAAATGAGGAACCTATTATCTTTTGAGTACAAAACATTTGAATATGCGATATATATCATCAAAATTTCAATAAAATTTGGTATATGAACAATCCCAAAGGGAGAGAAACTCAACTAAAAATAGGTTTTTCTTTTGGCAAATCACAATAAGTTGCTTGTATGCATACCTTGTTGCCCCTCAACCATGATTGTGAAACACAAGTTGCTCAAGAGTTGCAAAGACAAAATAAGTCTCGACCATCCCATTTCTTCTCTCTAGCTGGAGCCTGTATAGTTTTTTACGTATCATCAGGCAAGTGGGAGAAAATAAAGAGATGAAATTTGAGTAATGATCAGGTACAATAGGTAGACTCTGTTTTAAGGGAGAGGCCAACC